GCAACGCAGTTTGTGCAAATCCAGAACAGAGATCAGCTGCAATAAAACAATAAACGGCCGGTTGCTGATCGCGTAAGTTCCAGGGGCAGCTCCTTCGGCCATCATACACACACGTGACTGACCGCTGGCTCGCACCAACAGGAGGCGGACGTGTCATGTTACTCTCTACACTGCACTCAACCTGAGGGATTCCTACACTTTCAGTCTTTGAGGAGATATGAAAAACAGCGCATACCGCAGGAACGGTATAACGGAAAATATTAGCGGTTTTGAAGCATGAAATTTTCACATTGCGGTATACCTTGAAACCGGTAATCGGCCCATGCCTACTGTCACATATCCAATCTACATAAAATTGAATAGGACTATAAATAATACATAAATAGCCTATTAAATAGTCTGAAGCAAAATTATTTAAAAAACGTGTGTACTTTCTGTATTCTGATAAATTAAATAATTGTGTTTGTAAATTTCTCTATATATCCCCTTATTAAGCTAAAACACAAAATTTGAAAAATTTGCATTGCGCCCCTACATTTTTTTTAATGTCCTCCTAAATTTTTCAACTTAGGAGCACATGTGGTAAAAAGGTAAGCGTCAAGCCCTGTTAAATCTGTGTCGTCTCTTATTGCAAATACTTAAATTAATTTAATCAATAAATCAATCAATCATTCTGTCAATCAGAATACTAAATAACAAATAAATAATATTTATTCGCACAGTGTTAAATTAAATTTAGTGTTAAATAAAATTAAATAACAATTACATGAATATATGAGATTACTAAATAGCCTATATGAGGTATATAAAATCTATAGGCTAATAATAATAATACTAACACTAATGATAAAAACAACCAAACAAAACAGGAACTGATTACAAGTTATGGCTGTAACCAAAAGTAATTATTGTTCATTATTGTCCTTAATGTTGTAATAATGATTATTAATGTTGATTAATAGGACACTTTAAAAATAGTGCTTTTTATGTATTAGAAAATCAAGACTTCACGTTGGTTATCTTAGTAGGATGAAAAAGGATTTTCAAATTGGGAATTAATTATATACAGAAAGCGTAGAACTCAGTGATAGCAAAGCCATTGATTGGCTATCGATGCACACAGCAGAACTGAGCACACAGTGATTGAAGGAGACAAAGCTGAATGTTCTTGCATGGCCTGTCAGAGCCCAGACTGAAACCCCACTGAAAATCTGTGGAATGACTTGAAGACTGCAGTCCACAAACACTCACCATCAGATTGAACTGAACTTGAGCAGTTCTGCAAAGAAGAGTATGCAAATATTGCAAAGTCTAGATGTGTAAAGTTAGTAGAGACAGAGACACAGCCCAACAGACTAAAGACTACAATTAAAGCAAAAGGTGATTCAACAAAATACTGACAGAAGTGGCTGATCCTTTTTCCAACTCAGTGATTCTGTTTATTTATTTATTTATTTTTACTTTTTTTTTTTCTGAAATGTTGGTGTTTTATCTTTCACTTGGATGTTATAATAAAACAAAAACGGTCCGTCTTCTTTTCAGGCTGCAAAGCAACAAAATGTGATTATTTTAAAGGGGGGTGATTCTTTTCTATACCCACTGTAACTAACACTGCAACTAACTTATTTATTTGTTCATTTGATTTAGTTTACAATTTAATTTAAAATTGAATTGAATTTAAAGAACCCAGAATTAAGTGTTTATGCCGGCAGGTATTTATCATGAGTTGGGATACATTTGTTTGTATATATATATATATATATATATAGAGAGAGAGAGAGAGAGAGAGAGAGAGAGAGATATTATATAGATATACAGATAACAATATTTGTGTGTGTGTGTGTGTGTGTGTGTTTTTTGATGGAAAAGTAAATGTATACAATAAGAGCAGGAACTTGACAAAAATGCATGAATATGTGACAATGCTTGGTGAAATGTGACATAACGCCCTTAGTATAATATCAGTGTACTGTTTTCAGTTGGTGATTGAGAAATGCTGGCCTCTTCCTCTATTCCTCTGTCTCTCTTTCTGACTGTCCCTGTTTTGGAAAGGTGCAGATATCACCACGTTTGTCGAATCAGAGTGATTTGTGTTGAGTTGCTTCCCTCTTCTGGAGTGTCTAGATATTGCAACAATGTTTTCTAAAATCTGAACTGCAGAGGAGCAATTTTGACGAGATGTTGCTTGATCATTGGTTGATCTTCAGTATGTTGTTTAATCATAGGTTTTTATTGGCACATTATACAAAATATGAAATCAGTAAAGTCATTCAGATCATTCAGTTGCCTGTACCACCATAGCAAATGGCAATCGCTGGAACTTTGTTTTGTCCCTGTTGTGTTTGTTGAACACACTCATATATATATTGACTTCTAAATCTACAGTTTCCGCCATGTAAAAAAAAAAAAGATCATTGTTGATTTTATTTCACATTATAAACAGGCACTTTCTAAGAAAGAAATGCTGAAATAACTAATATTGGACCATGTGTTTTTATACATGTCAGTGAATTGTTCTATTTTGTATTTATTTATTTATTTTACAGCATATTTTAACAATAAAACTCTTTTTTTAATGTATATTGTCACCTACTCATTTTCACATAAACATCCTGTCAGCAAGTGAGTCAAATATGAATTCAATAAACATTCAGATTCAGCCTTGATACTAGGGCTGTATAAAATCAATATCACATTTGCAAACTCTCTTTGTAATCATGAAAAAGCTGTCACTCACCTCAGTTCATCGCGAGGTATTACGGCCGATCACAAAATTCGACATTGCACAGCTAAACATAGACACAAATATCCCGCTACGTTTTTATTATGTGCGGAAGTCTGATCGCTTTATTAGGCTATTGAATGGAAAAATAACATATATATATAAAAAAAAAAAAAAGTCTGAACTGGAGAAGCATTATTTGTTTATGCTCGTAAAGCTGCTTCGCCAAGTGTGCGCTTGCAGTGTTGCCATGTCCACTTATATTCATCTGAGCTTATTTGTTCCATATTAAAGCCCCGTTCACACTGCAAGCGACACGCAACAGCAAGCGACACAATCCCATTAATTTCAATGGAGAGCTGGCGATTTCCGGCGACACGAG